GATTTTCCTACCATTTCTCTGTCCCACTGAACCTCCTGCAGGAGTTTCTCATACCTGTGTAGTCCCCCTTTTATAGTTTGGCCTGTCCCCTTCAGTTCCTGTTACCTTCTCCACTTGTAACTCTACTATATAGTCAAAAATCAGAACCACATGATCGCTAGCTCCAAGGGGCCTCTCATAAGTGATGTCCTCAATGTCTGAACTGCTCAGGGTGAACACAAGATCCAGTCTTGCTGGCTCATCCTCCCCTCTCTCTGGTTGTGTCCCTGACATGTTGATGCATGAGGTTTTCAAGTACCACATCCATCATCTTGGCTCTCCATGTTTCGGGACCCCCATGTGGCTCCAGGTTTTCCAGTCGATCTCCCTGTGGTTGAAATCGCCCATTACCAGTAACTTTGCTCTGCTCGAGTGAGCTCTTCTTGCCACCTCAGCCAGTGTGTCCACCATCACCCTGTTGTTTTCTTCGTACTCCTCTCTTGGCCTCCTGCAGTTCTGTGGTGGGTTATACATCACTCCAATGACTACTTTATGTTCTCCGGACTGAATTGTACCTACAATGTAGTCTCTTTCTCCAATCATGTCCATGCCTTCCATTTCCTCAAATCCCCATCGGTGTTTTATGAGCAGTGCAACCCCTCCTCCCCTCTACTCCTTCTATCTTTCCTCAGGATCTGATATCCTGTTGGGAAGATTGTGTCTGTTATTGTCTCAGTGAGTTTTGTTTCTGTGGACTGCTATGATGTCTGGGGATTTTTCACTGATTCTTTCATTCCACTCCTCATGTTCATTCATTATTCCATCGCGTTTGTGTACCAAACCTTTAGTTTCTTTTTCTATCATTGTGGTCATGCAAGAATATTGGGGTTGGGGGAGCGAGAGCCTTGTGGGGGCCTATATGGGGCTGTGGTGTAGGTGGGGTTTGTGTTGATGGGGGTGGGGTCAGAATGCCATAACGGACAGCTGTTGGGGTGAGGTTTGTGATATGGGGATTGGTGGCAGAGGGAACAGTGAGTGGGTTGTAGTATAGGTTGCTCAGTTGCGTTGGGAATGTCGCGGGTGGAGTCTTTTGGTGGGAGATTCTGTGGGGTGTGTTTGCCCTTCCTCCTGTGTCTGGGTCTGCTCATTTTCATTGCTTCTCGTTCCTCCTTGCGTCTCTGTACCCTCTCTTTCAGTGTAGTCTTTCTTCTTGTGTTCTGTTGCGGTCGAGGTATACTCTCTGGTACCCTCTTTGTCCCTCAGTCTTGCTTTCTCTTGCAGAATCCTGGTTCGAACTGATTCTTCCTTGAAAGTTACTCTGACAGGCCGTATCCTTCCACTCGCAAACCACCAATTCTCTGAAAAATTTGTCACTGGGTCATATTGCCCTCCCCTATTGTTTTCATGATGCCTTCAATCATTTTTTCTCCTCTGTTTTATTTCTTCAAAGTTGGCCCCCTTGGCTTCTTGGAGCCCGTACACAAAACTGACCTCGCCCTTTCCTCCTCCCACTGAGTCTCCATCTGCGTCCTCTGAGGCATTTTATTTCCTTCCATTGACATGTTCTTGCCTTCAGTCCCTGTCATATCTGAACTTCTATTCTCAGTGGACTGTCTTTCCTGACCAGCTGTCCCTTGCTACTGCAGTTGGCTGTTAGAATCTCTGCATTAGCATACCTTCATTTGTCTTCGGACCTGTCGTTTGATCTTAGTGTGCTCGTCGTCTTTTCCCTGGCCCCACGTGGGTCTGATAGGGCACTTCATGTTCGGCATGTCTCCGTTGTTGCTTACCATCCCCTTGTCTGCGCCTGACTTTGAATTTCCTGATGTCACACCTGAATTGTCATTTGTCTCTCTAATCTGTTTCAGGCTTTGCAGTTTCTCTTCTAAGCACTGTATCCTAGCTTCTGCTGCTAAGACCTGTACTTCCCACTTCCTGCACTCTTCAGCTATCCGCTCCTCCATTTTCTTACCAAGCTCTACTATCTTCCTTCCCCACTCTTCCTCCCTTTTTTGGAGCTCTAGCTCCCAGTCTTTCCTCCCTGGTTCGTCCACCAGATCTCTGGGTTTCCGTCCTCTAAGGCCACCCATTTTTTTTTTTTTTTTTACTTTTTATTACCACAGACAGAAGGCTAGAGGAGGGAGAGGGTGTGGGGGAGAGAGAGAGAGGGTAGAGAAAGGGGAGAGGAGGAGAGAGAAAGGGTAGAAAGAGGGAGAGAGAGGAGAGAGTATGGGGGTGAGGGATAAGACCAAGGGGGAGGGAGAGAAATGTGAGGGGGGAGAGAAAGGGTAGAGAGAGGGAGAAAGAGAGGGAGAGGGAGAGAAAGAGAGAGAGAGGGAGAAAGGAGGGAAGAAGGCTATGAGAGAGAGAAACGCGAGGGAGGGAAAAGGTAAGAGGTCTGTGGGGGAGGCAGTCAAATTCCAAGGATCAGCTGTGTGTACTCACCTAGTTGTGGTTTCAGGGGTCGAGACCCAGCTCCTGGCCCCGAGTGTGTATGTGTGTGCGCGCGTGTGTGTGTGTGTGAGCACGTCAGTTGTTTATATGTCCCAGAAATACAATTCACTTCTGTGTATCCGTAATACTAATGAGATACCATTAACACTGAGAGTAGTTCTAATAATTATAATACTAGCGTGTGTTAACAAGTCATTCTTTCACCCAGTTATGTACTACCTTTTACTACATGTGTAGAGGAGGGAGAGGGTGTGGGGGAGAGAGAGAAAGGGTAGAAAGAGGGAGAGAGAGGAGAGAGAAAGGGTTAGAAGAGGGAGGAGAGAGAGAGAGGTATGGGGGTGAGGGATAAGACCAAGGGGGAGAGAGAGAAATGTGAGGGGGAGAGAAAGGGTTAGAGAGAGGGAGAAAGAGAGGGAGGGAGAGGAAAGAGAGAGAGAGGGAGAAAGGAGGGAAAGAGGGTATTGAGAGGGGAAACGCGAGGGAGGGGAAAGGTAAGAGGTCTGTGGGGGAGGCGGTCAAATTCCAAGGATCAGCTGTGTGTACTCACCTAGTTGTGGTTTCAGGGTCGAGACCCAGCTCCTGGCCCCGAGTGTGTATGTGTGTGCGCGCGTGTGTGTGTGTGTGAGCACGTCAGTTGTTTATATGTCCCAGAAATACAATTCACTTCTGTGTATCCGTAATACTAATGAGATACCATTAACACTGAGAGTAGTTCTAATAATTATAATACTAGCGTGTGTTAACAAGTCATTCTTTCACCTAGTTATGTACTACCTTTTACTACATGTGTACCCAATACTTGCTTCTCAGATTGTACTGTCTTTGTGTCCTAGAACATTATCTCTCGAAACTGTTGTCAGGGCTGTAGTCCCATTAGCCACGACTTAATCCTCCTGCTTAATCCTTACTCCTACAAAGTTTATCTTCCTACTACTGCTAGGTGTTGTGTGTATGATAATCGCTCTGGAGCAGGGTTTAGATAGCGAGTTACCAGTGACCGCTGGGCCGGCTCTATCACTCAGACTTCCCCCAACCACAAAACAGGTGATTTGTACGTTACTGGTCAGAGGGGACATCCATCCAGATGCCTGATGTACGATGCTCGCTGTACGATGCTTGCTGTACGATGACTCGTGCACCTCGCCCTTCCACCGCTGGCTTCTTCGCTATTCTTATCTCGTTGCCCTTTTGAGTCCTCATTTACCACACTTATCACTTGTATACTGCTACTTTTACAATTTACACTTCACTTTGGGTAAGTACACTACTTATTTGTGATGACACCCAGCCTGTTATGGCGGCGCTACTCCCTCAGGCCTACTGCTGCCACCACCTCATGCTTATATATATTATGTATATGTATGTGTATATATATATATATCCCTTTCTGGCTAGCTTGTTCACTCTGTGTGCTACATCACATTTTGTCGTTAGCCACCCTCTCTTAATTCTATTTGGTCTTTTCTCTTTAGTCACTCGATTTGTACTTTGTATATGTGTAACAATGTGGCAACAGGTGCCAACTAGGCCTCAACGACTGGCGCTTTGAAATTTTGTTGTATAATTTCAGGCTTTCTCTCGCCTTCACTTTATTTATGTTTGCTAATACACTGGTTATCACTTGTAGGGTTGTTCACTGACGTTGTCACTAACACTGGTTGCTTCTAGCTGCTAAAACACGCCATAAAAGCACTAAGATTCTCGGAGCCTGGCGCTTGTGACCCACTACACTGTCCCCTACTGTCACAGTGATTATGTGTGAGTGAGGTGAAAGTGTTGAATGATGAAAGTATTTTCTTTTTGGGGATTTTCTTTCTCTTTGGGTCACCCTGCCTCGGTGGGAGACGGCCGACTTGTTGAAAAAAAAAAAATAATTCATGGGTCCTATAACTTTCCTTGTTCTACTAAATTCTGAAGATGTACAATACTTTAGTTAACCTCAGATGAAAGATAAAAGCTAGATTATTAATGACCCAGGGCAGTTTAGTGACAATGTCAGTAGATTCCATATTTTTTTTTTTTTTTTTGGAGAAAAAAATCATTAACAAAAAGCTGTTCACAATATGGCAAATCCTCCCTGGATGTTTGTAGAACCATAATACCTCAATAAAGCCTGCAAAAATCATGACAATCCAATGAATACTTATTGCAGGAGAGGGATTACAATGTCAACAACTTATTACTGAGTTTTCTTTTTTTTTTGACATGAAACTCTAGAAAAGTGGCGCACCAACTCTCAGCGCGCTACATCCCTCCAACCTTCTTCACAACCTGCAGGCTACTAAGGGGCTCACTCACTGTGCTCCACATTCCAGCCAGCACAGAAGTTGCCGTGTAGAGTATTTACAACGAAATAATCATCAAAATCATAATTTTTGGAGAAAAAAAAAAAAAACTGCTAACTGCCAACATGTATTTTTGCTGACACCAAGAACAAAAAAAAATACATTTAATGAAAAACATACTTAGAAATATGATAGAAACAAGCTGATTACATCAGAATTTTGCACTATTTTTCAGTAAGAAAACTTTTTTTTCCATAATTTTTCAATTTTTATGTCCTGATCACTGAAAAAAGGCTCGCCCCTCCCTTAAGTTTGCCCGAAATGTTCTGCATACAAAGGGGCTTTTGACATGTACTCCCAACTATTATATTCCTTTGTACAACCATGTATCATGTCAAAATAAATTTATTATTATTATTATTATAATTATTATCACTGTGAATGATAACACAGTCTTACCATGATTAGTATGAGTGGCAGCACAGTCTTACCATGATCAGCATGGAGTCCGGCACCACGAGCAACTGCTAGTAACTGCCTGGCAGATGTATGATGTAAGGACATTTTCTTCTTTACTCCAAAATGTGACAATACTTCAGTAAGAGGTCGACCAATGTTACCTTCAGGAATGTCAACACGGTTTCATGAAGGCCAGTGTTGAGGCAAGGTCAACCTGCTGGGCCTCGCCTACTTTGTTGGTTCTGGAAAAATGATTAAGCAGTTAAAAGCAGAGTCTACAGAGGTGTAGCTTGAATATATAATATCCAAACTCTCCAGGCTGTGGGGGCATTGATCCCCCCATGGCCCTCTCCAGGTATCTCATCAGTCATGAGTAAAATTTTACAATTTTTCACATCTAAACGTACAGTAGCTCAAAAAATCTGTACACATTGTGTACAAATATCATGAAAGAAATATACTGAGGTATGATTGAGATGTTTGTTTACACATAAATACAAAGCTAAGACATTACAACCAATAGGCAACTAAACATAAAGAGGGACTAGTACCAAGTTTGCACAGAAACATTACATAAGGAAAAGACTCAGCAGGCAGTGTAACATCCCACAATGAAAAGCAGGGGTGCCATGAGTACACTAAGAGACAACACAATAAGTGTTAGGGGCCCAAGACTCTTAAACAGCCTCCTAGCATACATAAGGGGGGTTGCCAATAGACCCCTAGCTGTCATCAAGAGGGAGCTGGACAGGCATCTAAACTCAGTACCTGACCAGCCAGGCTGCAGTTTGTACATATGTTTATGTGCAGCCAGCAGTAACACACTGGTTAATCAGGCCCTAATCCACCATGAGGCCTGGTAATGGACTGGGCTGCAGGGGCATTGATTTCCAGAACACCCTCCAGGTATACTCCAGATATAGATTGGAACCATGCAGCTGGTGAAGAAAACACACAGGAATGTATGACAAGCTTTTCTCACAAGATTTTACTCTATGCAGAGATTTTTCAAGTAAAAGATTTACTTGATGAGTCTCTGCATACAGTCAAACTTCATAAGTGTTGTGTACCAACTCTAGTGCCAGACATCACACTTCACCACTCTTCAAAAGTTTCAGCTTACTTAACCCCTAACTGTCCACATGTAGATCTACGTTTTCACTGCTAGTGCACCTAACATAGATCAACGTTTTATTTTTCCTGCCTACAAATTTGGCACAATTGGCCTGAGATGCCTGGTCATTAACCCGTAAACAGTCCAAACGCATATACAGTGGATCCCCGGTTAACGATATTTTTTCACTCCAGAAGTATGTTCAGGTGCCAGTACTGACTGAATTTGTTCCCATAAGAAATATTGTGAAGTAGATTAGTCCATTTCAGACCCCCAAACATACACGTACAAACGCACTTACATAAATACACTTACATAATTGGTCACATTCGGAGGTAATCGTTATGCGGGGGTCCACTGTATACGTTTTTTCAACATTTGAAAGTATGTAAAAAAAGTAGATCTTCTTTTTGTTTTTCTACATTTGAAAATGTGTAAAAAAAACTTTGATCTACTTTTTTTTGTTATATTTGAAAATATGTAAAAAAAACTTAAGATCTACTTTCGTAGCACAACACATGTGAACGTAGATCTGCTTGGACCATTTACGGGTTAAAGAATGGGTCTTAATACTCGGTGGGTGCAGTATTAAAAAATTCTGGGACCACTTAATACCTTGTAGGAGCAACAGTTCAAGTGAGCACCAGCTAGAGCAAACAGCATGGCAAACACCAGGGATTCACTGATTGCATTTTGTATTAATACCCCCCATTTTAAGAGGAAAGTGATGTTGACCCCGAGTTTAGTGACTTCGAGATGGATGTGGCCACAAGTGGTAGAGGAAATGTCAGAAACCTCGATAATAACCCACGTGCAACATTTGCATAACATCCTTTCAATTTTGATACCACTGGTATTGTAATCCTGCCAGAATGTCCTACAACCTATGCCCTAAGGAAAGAGAAACAATTCTAGAACATGAGTAATATGTGTTTGGCAGGCAGGGTGGGTGGGTGTGTTGCTGGCTGGCTAATTGACCTTGGCTGTCTCTATCTCTGTCTGTATCTATCTGCTTCTATTTGTGTGTGTGTTTATCTGTGTCTCTGTCTACCTGGGTCTCTATCTGTATCTCTATCTGTCTGTCTATCACTGTCTCCATCTCTATCACTGTCTTGTCTATTCTGCTGGGTGTTAGTCGACTGGTGTGGGTCGCATCCTGGGACACTGACCTAATTTGCCCGAATGTCCCGAAATGCGGAGCATAACAAGGGACTTTCTACTCATTGTTGTCGCTAGGACTGTTATACCTTGTACATGTACTTGTAGTAATAAAGATATTATTATTATTATTATTATTATTTTTATTATTATTATTTTTTATTATTTTTATCTCACAGGTACACATAAGTATAGTTATCATACTAGTATAAATTACTTAGGATAACCCAAAAAATTCAAACAAAAGTGCTACACAAAGCATGACTGGCAAGCAATATGCATTTTCACTTGTTCAGGAAACAGTTTGTGACGACTTGTATCATGTGTAATACCTGTTGGTTCATGGGGCGGCTCTCTCTGAGACAGAGAGACAGATGAGCGACAGACAGAAAGGACAGATTTTAAACAGATACAGAGCTAGACAGACAGACAGACATGTTTATGTGTAACATTTGAAAACATTAAACCCAAGGTTCACTAGAGCAGTGCACAATCAGCAATATTAGAGTGACTGCCCCGTCAAAAGTTTAGTGGACGTCTTACACTGTGCTTCAAGGGTTTCACATCTAAAACATTGCTGGGACTATAAATAATTGAATATATTCTAGACAATAGTATGTAACCAAGGCAGGTGAAAATGTTCCCCTGTCAGTGTGTTTGTGACTACTGATTACTATTTCAGTACCAAAACATTAGTGAGAGCACAAAGATTGGCTATAAAATCACAAGAACTACTATAAATTGTAAATATGGAGCATAAATAACAAAAAGGCACAATACCATGACTGGAACAATACACAAACAACCCGCACATAGAAGAGAGGAGCTTACGACGCGTTTTCTATCCTCATTTCCCTTCAATCTAAAATTTCCACTCTTCTTAATTCATTTTCCCGTTTTGGCTACCCTTCCCATTTCACTGACTGCCTTCTCACTTTACTAAACTAATTTCTTCTCTCCCAAACTCTCTACTCTGGGAACTCTTCTATCCTCTGCCTTCCCTACATTTCCGGTCTTTCTAATCTCAACAACTCTCTCCGTTCCTTAGACTCAAAAATTACTTTCGCCAGACTAACACTCTTTGTACTAATCGCGTTCATTTCCTCCTCCCTCTACCGATGCTCCTGGGTCTACTCTTTTTCTTGTTCCTCCTGTCCTCTTCAATACTTTGGAGGGAAAACTGGTCGATCTCTTTCTGACAGACTTAGGGAGCACAAAAATAGTGTTAGGTTGCCGACACTAACAATGCTCTTTTTGTCACGTCAGAGATCACAGCCATTTATTGACTGGTCTTCTGCTTAAAAAAGTCTTCCCTACTTTCAAAATTTTAACAGTCGCCATTTGGGTTTAAATCCTCCTAATACACAATTTTCCTTGTATGAATCTTAGTCCTGGCTTCATCTCTGTAGATGCTTTTTCCCCTCCCCTTACATTGTAAAATTTCTCCTAACTTCAGAATACTCGTGACCTAACCTGATTCCTCCCTTTTTTTCTTCTCCCTCTTCCCTTTTCCTCTTTTCTTTTTCTCCTTTGGGTTGTCTTTTTCTGCCCTGTGTATTTGTTCTTTTAAATTTTTTTACATTTTTTCCCCCTTCGTGTTTTCTTGCTCTTACCCTCTGTGGGCACCTAGCCCCTGCAGTGCTCCTCTTTCCTAGTATTTGACTGGCCCTCCTACTCTTACTCCCTGCCCACTATACTTCCTTCCCCTCATACTACTACTACTACCCCTCTGCCTATACTATCCATCCTTTTCCTTTTCATTAGTGTGTTTGTAAATGGCCCAATTCGGCCCGAAACGTTGTGAAAGCCCCTTTCCCTTTATGTGGGGTTATTTGTGATGAGAGTATAAAAGTTATTACTCCCTTTCCTCAATGATGGAGCTCCGTGCCAAAGACCACATCTTTAAAAAGAATTTGTAAAGTGGGAGGCGCTATAATGGTAGCAAGTTTGTGTCAACATCTTTCATACTGTTCAAGGTACCTACCCTCATTTATAACATTTCGGGTTTCAGGGGCCGTTTATGGCGTTTCGTTTTTATGGCGTTGCTAATCGGAATTTCAAAATTATGACCAAAACTCGTATCGGCTCCCCCCACTGTCTTTTAAATCGGTTCACTGCCCACCGAGTTTTTTTTTAAATTTCCCGAGAACATCTCCTTATTATGGGAAAAACTTTAAAAAATTTCAAGTGTTTTAAAGTTTTGAAATTTTTTATATGTATTGTACTTGTAATTAAATTGTGTCACCTGTTACCTAAAAAAAACTTAACACTGGCTGGCATGTGGGTACACTTAAAATCACTAAGCTCTTATTTGATGCAATAATAAAAAATAATAAAATAATAATAATAATAAAAAATAATAAAAATAATAATAATTGTTGGGGCTTTAAAATGTCGCTATTACGTTAATATAGACATTTCCCTTAATCTATCTATGATATTTTTAAAAATTTATATAAGAAAAAATTTATGTAAACACAAACATGTACATGCACCAACAGTATAAAAATTTTTACAAAAATATTGAGTGTTTCCCAAAACGGTTTTAGAAGTTTCGGAAGAATTTACGTTTTCTAGCCCGTCCCCTGTTACTAGGGAAAAATGTAGAAAATTTTCCTTTGGGCCCTTTCACTTTATGCTAATTCGTACTAATTGTACACAGTGTAGAGTTTTTGTTTGTGATTTATTATTTAATATAATAAAATATTAAAAGGTAAAAGTTTCACAAACTTTACAATGTACTGAATGAACTAAAATGGACCGTATTAATACAGTTTTTTCGCCTGACGAGTGTGTCCACAACCCGTTCATTTTTTTTTTCGCTGTCTGAGCTCGGTGTATCATTTTAAAAGTTTTATATTACGTTAATATAACTTTTATTTAAACCCTCGTGATATTTTTTTTAAAATTATATTTAAAAAAACACGATAATACAAAATACATAACATATGTGTAGGAACCTAGGATAAC